CGCCGGGCCCCCGTCCCCCCTTGGGTGGGTCCCGTGGGGGGGGGGGGGGGGCAGAGCCGGTCCGGTTTTCCCACCCCCGGGCAAACCCGGAGCGTTCGGGAGCTCCTCGCCACCGGCCCCGTGCTCCGTGCCCCGGGGACCGGCTCCCCGCCATTCGCCCCGCCGTGGGGAGGTGGGCACGGGGCAGGGGGAGAGACCGGCCTTTCCCAAACGGATCAGACCGAAGAGGGTCCGGATTCAAGGGGAAAAGGCAGGATTCCCGGCGGGAAAAATAAAGGCGTAAACCCGGGCAAGGAGGGCTGCGAAATCCCCCCAACTCCTGGCCCGGGGAGATGAAAACCCGCAGTTTGGCAAAAGGGTGTGCGGGGGGAGCTTTGCGGGAGCGGGCTGGAGGCCCGGCCGTCCCCCCGCCGCCCGCCCCGTCGGGGGCTGCGGTGCCGCGTGTCCCCCCCCGTCGGGGCGGACGTGGGCGCTGGGCGCGGGCAAGTGCGGGCAGGCGCAGCCCGGTGGCTGCACTCCTGCCTCGGGCACGGCGACCCCCGGGGGGTCTCGGTCCTGCCCGCACCCCGGCCCACGCTGTGCCCTCCCGGCAGAAACGCCATTTCTCAAACGCAGGAGCCGACGCGCCCCCCACCCCCCGTCCCCATCCTTCATCCCCAAACGTGACACGGCCTTGGATTTCGTTTGGAAGTGGGAGGGAAGCGGGAGGGGAGGGGGCGGTGGGGGGTGTTGTCTGCTTGGAAATGCTACCCTTTGGGGTTTGGGGGGGGGGGGATTAATGCTTCTATTTTTCTTTTCGGGGTGTGTGGGGGAAGAGATCCATATTTGCTCTTGTTCACTTCACACAGGGCTCCCAGATGGAGAAAAAAGCCCCCTCCTGAATTATCCAACAGGGCTAAAGCAGGTTGAGTCAGTGAAATTCAGTTCCTTATTTTATGAGGTGTCAGGGCTGATGTCGAATATGGCAACGATAACTAATACTACAGTCTGAGGGACCAGAACGTGGTAATTAATCCCAAAGACTTAAGTGTATTTTAGTTCAGGAGAAAAAAAATCACTAATTCAATCGTCCGGAAAATTGAAGTTTGATGCATGAGTCTCTGCTGAAAGGAAAGGCTTTTTCTTCCTGATTCTGGGGTTGGGGCAGGAATCGCAGCCTCTCTCCTCCGCTCCCCGGTACAGGGCCGCTGCCCGCCTGCCCCGGGCCTGGGCACACCGGGGACCGGCACGCCGAGGGACCGGCACGCCGAGGGACCGGGGACACACACAGGGCGCTCCTCCCCTCCCTCCGCACCCCCCCCGCCT